TGTTGATCACATTTCTACAAGGAAGTTAACCAGAAATAACATTGTGTCAAGTTAAATACAGTTTAATAGTATCATAAGCTACATCCGCACCTTATTGAGCAACTATTTTAAATAATATGGGTCAACAAGATCATAACAAAATGTATAACCTGTTATAAAGTCTCTGTTATAAATATCAAACTGGATGTTTGAACCACATCATTAATGCAAATGAATGATGATAAATGATAATTGTTAGTTTCATTTGAATAAAAAAATACATTTGGTTCTTTTAAACTCCTTAAAAAATAGCAATAGTCTGTCTGGTATTATGCAGCCGAGATCCAAGTAATACTTTAAGGCACTCAAAAGCAATTGGTGTGTGCACAAATGATGCTTCCAGAGAATTTCTGTCTCACGACGAAGGGCCACAGGATGGCTTCTGAAAAGTTTCCATAATAGGCTCCGGAGCTGTCAGTCAGTGGCGGGGGGGGGGGGGGGGGGGGGGGGGGGGGGGGGGGGGGGTCTTCAGCAGCGGGTTCTCTGATGCCTTTGCAGCAAACCTGAAGGAGGCTAGAGAATAAAGAGAAAACAACGATTATATATTTATTTTCCAATTCAGCCAGCTTTTTATTGCGTGCACTCCTTTAGTTCCAAGGCTAGGGGATAGAGAGCGTTCCCTGGGGAGGTTATTGAAAGCCATACATGTAAGCTAGAAAGTCAAAGAGCATCAAATGGAAATTGAGAGAAGACAGAGAAAGAGACGAAACATGATAGAGGCAGAGGAGTCATCGAGAGGTGTCTCAGAGCTGTCAATCACGGCAGAAAAAGTGGATGGTTTACTCTGAAGCAACCTGTAGAGAGGGATGGAATGGAAATAAGGATGTATTGCTTCCTGCGGCAAACAAATTATCTCTAAATCTTTCAAATTAAGTTAGTCGATTGAAACAGATTTATGATTACAAGTCAGACAAAATGGATCATTATTAGAAGGCTTTTAGCATTGGAGACTGAAACATGAGATCTCTGGAGAGTGCTGAAGACAATACAGAGTTGATGTAGAGACTACAGTAGTTCTACTATAAATAATCACCTCCAATGTTGATATAATTATGTTTAATCTGCATGTTTGATTCTTCACATAGATTTTAAAGCTGCAACAAATGGAATCACTCGTGGTGACAAACTCGCAGACATATATATATAACTCTGCAGTCATTCTTTGCTAAACAGAACGTTTTTAAATCTCATTTGCATGGTATTTTGAGGCATATATTATGGGATTTTATTATCAGATATATAAAAATATATAAAAAAACATATCTATGATGTGTTTTGCTCAAAATATCAAACAGATCATGCATTTTAGACATCCCTCATATCCCTCTATTTCAGCCCTGTTCGAGAATGATTCTCTGCTGGCCCCGCCCCCTTTTGTGCGCTGTCCACTGTGAGTTCTGTGACGAGCAGGCTGTCTCTGCTCAGATGCAGCTCAATGCTGCCGTGATTGAACGCCATATCATGTTCCAAACCACTTCAAGGATTATTTCTGAAACAGTATGGAGCTCAAATACTTATTTTTTTGCGGGTTTACTACAAGGTGAGTTCCTTTTTTCATTCCCTGCTGTTTTACACATACTCTCTACAGTGTTAGCGATGCTTGCTAATGTAAACAAAGACCTTATTATGTCCAAAACAGTTGCACATTATGTCCAAAACAGTTGCACATTGTTTCTGATAGCGACGTTTCTGATAGGGCCATGGGCAGGGGCGGACTGGGACTAAAATTCAGCCCTGGAAACTGACCCAGTCCGGTCACATGAAATGTCAAATGTTAGAAATCCGCTGTTTATTATTTAAAGTTTTACATCCGATTCGCTCCTTTTTTCCTCTCTGTACACAGCTCCAGTTTGGGCATTGGCCTGTCATCAGATTTCATTTTTAGTTGCTGCTGTAGCGGAAGTTTAGTAAAATTATGTTTGATGAAATACTACAAATCTCCACCCTCCATAATTGCACTTGCTTCAGTTGCTTGCTACTTTTTAAGGGCGGTGATGACAGTTACAGTACGAACTGAAGTTGATGCGATTTGATTGGATTGTGAGGCAAGGGAAGCCAGCCGCCTCTGGATTGGTCTTGGCATGGCCCTGACCAATCACAGGTTGGCAGGGGCATGACGTGATCCTCATCTGATTGGTCAATACCTCTTTTTTTTCACCAAGGAAAGCCAATTTCGGCTAGCCCCTTCTCGCAACAGAGAGTGCAATCTACTGTTTCACCATAACATCTAGAGGGGCGCTGTTTCACTCTTTGTAAAATACTCAATGAGAATGTGGGAGAGACGGGCCGGCAGCAACACACAGCAAAGAATAATTACCGAAACTAAACGAAGTGCTTTTATTTATTTATTAAAATGATAACTACAATCCAAAAAAACAGGGGAAGCCTGGATTCCCTTGGCCTCCAGGAGAAAACGCCACTGAGTTCAAGGGATAATTCTCACCCACCTCTTGCTCTTACCCTGCACTCAGTGGCGGCGCCAGGGTATGGCTGGGGTAGGCTACAGCCATACCAAGAAATGGCTTAGCCCTACCTTAGCCCGACCATGAACAATTATGTTAAAGTAAGCATGTTGAGAACACGGATTGGGAAAATCTACCGGTCGTGTCCAGTGGCGACTGGTCATTAGGGGCAGGTACAGCCCCACCTAGTGTCAGCAGAAAGTATTAAAAGTAATGATTACAAAAAAATGCAAAAAATAAATTAAAAAATATATAAAATATATTTTAAGATCATGTTTAATCATCTGATTCGTCTGTACATTGCTGTTTTAGTCTGTGTTCTTCTAATTAGTGTCTACAGTGTGTGCCTATTGAGCTGTTTAGAGCCATGTGGGACAAAACCCGATCCTGCCCCTCCCTCTCCCTGTTTAAGTCAATGGTGACTGTAAAAACTACACTGCGCATGCTCAGAGTATTGTCCTATTTAATGTGTGTGGCAAAAAAATAATGACCATAGGGGCATAGAGCTGCCATCCCCACCATACGTCATCTCACATAATTCAGAGCTGATTGGCTGTAAGTACGTGTGCCGCGAAAAGTTTGGTGTGTGAAGAGGAGGAGAGAGAGCTGCAGTGAGGCGTCCTAAAACCCGGAAATAAACTGCGCATGGCTTCCCTCCACAAAAAAGCAATGATATTTCTCCATAGGATTTTAGAAAATAGCTCCAAATAAGATCTGTGGGAAACAAACCTGTTAGATAAATGCACGTTTTGTTCAGCCGGATAATATCCACATGTCTACCCTACTTTTATAATTTTCGAATCATAAATCTATTGATTAGATCAGATTTATGATAGACTTTTGAAACTACAAGAACATAAGGAGGACTTTTACAAAAAAGTAATAGAGATTTTTGTCCAGAAGGATAGGCAAATGGACTTCATCTTCATGTCAAGGTAAGACTGCAATTTTATTGAAAATGGGATCTTACTAAGAGAGAACAATTCAATATTTAAATGATAAAATTACATTTTTTGGGTATCCTTTTGTTGAACTGTCTGTTTAAAATTAATTGAAGCATCAGACAAAAAAAGCTTTTGAAAATAATATTATATTTTGATTTAGGTCAAAATATAATATTTGTAAACCTGAAGAGTCAGAGCCTCACCAGCCATGAACCTCAGAAGCTTATATATAGACATCTAAGTTTGTTGTGCCCCACCACTTTTGTACATATAAAAACGCCACTGGTCGTGTCCACAACACACAAACTGATCCTGCTGTAACAACAAGTGCACGTTACTGACGCAATATGGTTGAGACCATTCGGCTTATGCTAGAGGGGTGCAAGGAATAGTCTAAGTAGTGGGGGAGTTTTATACACTAAAGGTGTGGACATTCTCTCGCGTTATAATATCAGCGCGGCCGCGGTCAGATTAAAATGCCTCCGAATGCAATTTGAACAGACCTACAGCCAATCAGAGCAACGAAACGTTGGGTGCTGCGTCATGCATTACTGATTCGTCACGTTCACAGTGAAAAGTCCCCAAACTCGCGCCGAGTAAATTGCAGACAGACAGCAGAACTTCTAGGATTAATTGTATATTTCGGATGGATAGATTTGTTCTTAAACGCCCTCGCATTGAGGTACAAGTCGAACAGGTGCCAGAGTCACACGACCCACCTGAAGAGTGAATAGTGAGTTTTGAATATATTTTGTAATAATGGTCATTTGAAAAAGTGTTTTGTATGACAATAGTACGGTGGCCGGCAGGTGCAAACGCTAAACAACGGCCAAAAACACACACATAAGCAGGAAACACCTGCAAATAATGAAATGAAAAACCAACAAACCCTGAAAACACATATAACAGAAAAACGCTGCATTTACAGAAATGATGCAAGCTAAACCTACAACACACAAACCCTGAAAACAAACGCAACAGAAAAACATTGCAAATACAAAAACGATATGCAAAGTCAAAAGCACATACAACCGAAAAACCCGTTACAAAAAAAAAAGACATTACAAAAAAAAAAACATTCCGGAAGTGCTTCAGGCCTCTAGGGGGCGCGCTACGTGGAACAGATTGATGTATGACCAGACATAGAGAGAACGAACAAGAGGACAGAAAGTTCATTTAAGTGGAGAAAGATATAAGAAGGTAAGTTTTGTTTTGTTTTTATACATAGAGCGTCATATTTACGTAGCTAGCGTTAGCGTGTTTGATCAAAGAGCTTGCAAGAGCCATTGTGCACCTAAATGTAACTCTTGACATAATATAGATATAGTATAGAACCGGGACGCCCCTCCCTACACGCAGATCACACAGACTGGGTGGGGTCTCACGCCCTCACCTCGTGGAGGGGGCCTCAACTGAGCCGCAAATGCGATGCGGTGATAAAAAGGAAATCAAATGTAAAAAGTTGAATTAAAATATTAAAACAGCAACACAACTTTATTCCCACATTAAAAGACAGTCTGAAGAGGTGTGTTTTGAAGGTCGGTGCAGTCTCTGGTGTTTAATGGGAGTGAGTTCCAGAGGGAGGGGGCAGCGATGGAGAAAGCTCTGTCTCCCCAGGTTCGGTGCTTGGTTTGTGGGGGGATAGACAGGAGGTTGGCTTCTGATGAGTTAATTGAAAGACCGTTCTTTAATACTATTATAATATTTAGGTAGCCGAAAAATATCCACTCTTTTTGACTTAACCTAGCTGTCCTACATTTTATTTCTCCACAGATGTACTGTCCATTCTGTGGTGCCAGCGTGACATCTTCGCATGGCTTTTGTGGTGTCTGTGGCAGAGACATCACATTTCTAAAAGATGTGACTAACAAAGTCCCTGAGGAGATGCCCACCACTAGTGCGCATCTAAGTGCACAGCCTAGCACCAGTGCAGGTAAATAGGTTGTTCGTTTTATTACCAAACAATAAGTATTTATAGAAAACTTGGTTTAAAAGTTCGAATTCTGTTATTATACAAATACATCTCTAAACTATGTGGCTTACCTACTGTTGAATGTGTTATAAGATGTTCCTCAGAAGGGATTGAGGATGAGACTCCTATTCATTTGCATATTATTGTCTTTTTGCAGATTTCTGTTGGAGTAATGAGGAGGATGGATGGCTGCCATAAACCTGTGAGAGGGAGGTCACTTCCCCTTAATGTTGAACCTCAATGGGCATGTGAAGAACTGTTGGCTGCTGCCATAAAAAAGCAGAAAGCCTTTAACCAGGACTTGGAAGATGGTGCCCATGTCTTGTTGTACCCTGATGCGACGGTGATAACAAATATCCCCGGAACGGACACCCCTTTCACAGTACAGATGTACAAAGAGGCCATTGGAAAGCCCTACCAACGAATTACGTTGTACATCTGTACTCTTGAAGCCGTTGAAAACAGTTGTAAGTGCTTCTGACATATATTCCCCCTTGTTTAAAGCACTAAACTGTATAATAGTTCAAATGTAAACATAACAGTTGTTCTGTCTATATTTCTTAACACAATTCATTCCACCCATCATTCCTTTCTCTTCGTGGTTGAACTTATGACGTCAAATGGTCTTTTATGAATAGTGGCAGAAGAAATGGAATTTAAGTATCAACAAAAGCTTCCAAACTTTCCTTCTGTTCAAACTAAATATAAATTCCCTCTTAAGGATTGTAATTCTAAATTAACCTTTTTTCTCACAACAATGTTGGTTTGTTGTGCCCTAAATCCTAATGTGAGAGTGAAAAAGACGGTCAACAATATAATGTACATTTCACAAACATTTTGTGTTTCGATTGAATCCTTTCTGATTGATGTCAATCCAATTATTCAGGATTCAAACCAACATTTGATGATAGGTACAGACGTAGGGGAACAATTTGTTGTATAGTATTAATCATGACACTTTTATTTTTTTAGGTTACACTGGAACAACCTCTTCAAGTGACGAGGACAGTGTGGTTGTTGCAAAGTTGCCATCTGGAGACAGTCTTGCTGACACCGTGGTCAGTTTGGATCTATCGTGGCATTTATTCTTAATTAAAGTGAATTTATTTTATTTCAGTCAGTCATTTGTGTGTTGTACTGTATGCAGGTGTGGGACTTTCCAAATGAACAGAGCACTCCCAGAATGGACAACAGTTTGCCAGGGTAAAATAAAACATTGTCAACATGTTATTTTGTGCCACAAGAAGCAGAATGTTTTAACAGTACAGTAGTTTGAATATATTTTTTGCTTACCTTTATCAGACCTCTCAGGCACCCACAACCAGCGTCTGATCGGGTAAGACTAATTACAAATGTAATTATACCATGTAGGTTTGAATTTGTGAACATGAAATCAATAAATACCTTTGTGTGATAATGACACTGTCATTAGATAAACTGCATCATTATTTATTGGGTAAAAGTAGGATGGAGAACCAACCCCATTCCAGGAAGAGGTCCAGTCTGCCCCGGGTCAGAACACCTTCTATAGGTAAACGATGTTGACAGTTGCATCGTGACACAGTTGTTTGGTGTGTATTTTTATTTGTACATTTGGTTGTTTGCATAGCCTCCAATCACAGTGGGTAATATTGCCAGGAAGCAGAACAATTATACTTTCATACATTTCCAAAGGACACCCACAACATCTTAGTGAAGATGATACAAAAAACACCCACAAATATTTTTCAAAGGTCAGATATTGTTTGTTGCATCCATTTCAAATGTTTACAATGATTGTGCAGGAGTATGACAAAGTGCTGTTGTCAGTTTAGAACCCAATGTATTAAAAAAACCAGGAAGAGGATCGACATCCTTTTGCAAATATGACTGTCATGCATATATTATGTATTTGAAAGTAATTATTCAACTGTCTTCTCACTGCAGCAACTACACAACTGTGTATGCACTTATCATTATTGACAGCCAGTCTGAGCCAGAAGAGGAAACGGAGCAAACTGCAGAGGAAATGTATTAATTGTTACTTTTATCACTTAATTTTTTTATTCTATACTGTAAATCTTATTACTAGCTTCATCATTTAATATTACAATACATCACTTTGTCTTTCCCAGCACAGAATACCTGACTGCGCCAGACATTGTTGCAGAACTCTCTGCAAAAATTAAAAATACCTCTTGCAGCAGGTTCAATATTAATAGAGCCAATGTGTAGGATGGAGCAATCCGTGGCTTCAAAGGGGCCTCATTCGACCCCTCTCATCAGATGCAGGTTAAGTTTACTGATGATGAGGGACAAACTGAGATGGAGTGGACATTGGTGGTCCCAAGCGTGAGTTCCTGACCCTCCTAATGGAATGCCTGAGAATGAGAAGAATATTTGATGGTCCACAGGACAGGAAATTCCTCAAGTTCGACAATGCAGGTAATGATGTTCGCAAATCTGTCTTATGTTCAATACTGTACTGTAAATATAGGAGCTGCTTATGAATTTTGCAGCTTGATTTACGTGACAATTAAATTATCTTATACTGTATATCTTTATGATAACGTGGCAACTGTTGGTTAACGTGATAATAATTTAACAAAAAATATCAACAGCTGCAAAAGATGACGAATAATTTCATGCTGGGAGGATGATTGCAACTTCTATAGTTCAAAAACACAAGGAGAAAAAGAAGAAAACATCATGTCATGGCTCACTGTCTCAAAATCTGATTCTAAATGTATAATGTTCTTTATAAAGATATAACTAATACACAATTATGAATGTATAATATAAGCTGTTTTGTGTATTTAATCATGCGTTGGTCTACAATTTAATGATGGCTTCTACATATTTCACATAAACAGACAATGAAAAAATGTGTCCTTCATGCTGATAACTAGTGTATGCATCTGCAATTAGTATTCTAAACAGAGCAGTGTGTTGAATCCTTATTTCTTGCATTTGAAACAGATACAATACAAAAAGTGAACTTACTGTTGTGTTCAACTTCTGCCAAAAACTGTACATGTTTTCCACAGGAGCCACAGAACACTTGAACTGTCCCCAGATGTTGGCCACAGAAAGGACAAAACATGGCAGCCTGAAAAGACATACATTGATGTAGTAAATCCATGTAATCAAGTCAATCAAAAACACATAGTCTAAATAGTGGTTAGCTAAATAAATAGATACATCATGTTCACCGTTGAATCTGTGATTTGTCTCTCTCTCTCCTTGAATGTCTAATGCACACTACTATCCTGTCATTACTTTGTCCCTCTTCACATTTTGTCACTTTCTCTCTCTCTCTTTCTCTCTCATTCAATTCAATAGCTTTATTAGCATGACCATAGTTACAGGCAATTGCTAAAGCTCTGTATAGTTGCAACATCTATACACAAATACATAAATATAAACAAACTGCTAAGAATTCAAATGTCCTTTTTCCGCGGTACTCACTATGGCCCGTGTTATTTGCCTGCACTTGATTTGTCATCTCTTTACAATGTTCTTCCCTCACTTTCTCTTCTCTTCACGTGAAGCTCTCCCCCCTCAGCTGGTGTAGTAGTTAGGCACGCTAGCTAGCTATATAAATATGACGCTCTATGTATAAAAAAACAAAACTTACCTTCTTATATCTTTCTCCACTTAAATGAACTTTCTTTCCTCTTGTTCGTTCTCTCTATGTCTGGTCATACATCGATCTGTTCCACGTAGCGCGCCCCCTAGAGGCCTGAAGCACTTCCGGAATGTTTTTTTTTTGTAATGTCTTTTTTATTTGTAATGTGTTTTTTGGTTGTATGTGCTTTTGACTTTGCATATCGTTTTTGTATTTGCAGTGTTTTTCTGTTGCGTTTGTTTTCGGGGTTTGTCTGTTGTAGGTTTAGCTTGCATCATTTCTGTAAATGCAGCGTTTTTCTGTTATATGTGTTTTCAGGGTTTGTTGGTTTTTCATTTCATTATTTGCAGGTGTTTCCTGCTTATGTGTGTGTTTTTGGCCGTTGTTTAGCGTTTGCACCTGCCGGCCACCATACAATAGAGATACAGGCTACCTGTTGTGTGCTGTGTCTGTCTCTCTGTTTACCTGTGTCTCTCCCTCTCTCCCTCACTCTCCCTCTCTCCCTCACTCTCCCTCTCTCTCTCACTCTCTCTCTCTCCGTGTCAATTCTATATGCCAACTTTTCTTGTTTCTGCCGCTGCGTAGCATGTTGTAACAACGTGGAATTAGCAGAATAGGCTATTGTATTGTTTAACTCACACCTGTTGCTCTCGATGTAATTTAGCTGATAAAAGGAGACTAATAAAAGCTAATAAAAGCCTCACGCGTGCGTTTCACTGTCAAGGGGTGCGATATAGCGTGTATGTAATTACATTACAAATACTGACTTGAGCCCCACCACTGTATGGGTTAGCCCTACCATAGATTACCCAACAAAAATACTCTGGTGCCGCCACTGCCTGCACTTGTATGTGCCAGTTGAGCTGGTTCTTCCACCAGCTCAACTCTGTCCCTCATCATGAACGCAGGAGGCTGGCTGTATATCTGAACTCGCGCCCTCATCATTCTCTTCATCATCTTGCACTTGTTCTAAGCTGCTGCTGATAGTGCTTGTAGCAGCGCTGCTGCCAAAAAGGTCTGTCAATTTGCGACATGTATATGCTTCACCTGCGAGTGACTTCACCTTTTTTTCTCTTGCCTTCTCGGCCCCAACTTTTTCTTTTCATTTTCTTTGATTTATATCCATGTTTTTTCATTCTCCCTGCCTGCCGCGGCGTCTAATCCCTTCTCTTCGTGTGGCCGGTCTTTTTTCTTCTTCGTGTGTGACTTTGACAGATAAGAACCACACAACTGCATTAGCGGCCGCTGTCGCCCTCTGTCGGCCGTCAGCGCAACTTAAATGATGACGTTAAACAAGGTTTTTTTTAAAGGGCCGGCCGGCCGCCAACGGCCCTTGACAACCGGCCGTTATGTGGTTCTACAGATGGCCAGTCCGCCCCTGGCCATGGGTGTAAAGCCAGCCCACATTTCCGATATTATGTCATATCGGCAGCAAATCTGGATCAGCTCCGTTGTACCCCTATTTTTTGAGATGTGGGTGCGGAGGAAAAGAGAGAGGGTTTTGTTTTCTGACAATTGGTGAGTTCCCTGACACACCGGGGACACATATTTATGTATAAAATACATAAAAAAGTGCATTTAGCATGATAGGACACCTTTAACCAGTTAAGCCCCATGCCCCTGGTACCGCACTTAGCACAGAACTCATGGTAAAATACCCTTATTACTTATCAAATCTGCACAAACAAGATATCAATTACCAAGCTTAGATTCCACAGATTCCATACATATAAGTATCATCACTGAGCGATCGGAACTCGCGGCGAAACGACAACAAACAACAAAATTAGCTTTACGGAGACAAAGCGGCTAAAAACGTCTTACCTTGGTTGTTTTCTGATCAAAAGTTGTGTTCAATGGCATTAAAACGATAAAAACGCTGCTGAAGGTTAATCCATAGATTAATCCAATGTGTCTGTTTCACTTTGAAATGATTACTGATAATCCATCATTCCATTTTTATGTCAATAACGGAGATTTAATATTAGCTGCTACGAGAGTGTATGACAGCTTCCGGTATTGGGCATTCTGGCTACGCATCACTCATTCACCAATGGGTAATGTTTAAATGGATTTGAGGAACTTCCCATCGATTCCATTGGCTCTAATGGTTAAAAAGATGTGTCAATCATCAACACCGACAGAGGGGTGCCAGACATATGGAAAATGCACCCAAATGACCCCAGAAGTGGTTTATTTTTTCTAAATTTCTCTAAAAAGGTCAAATGTCACTTATTTTTGCATCAATCTTGATACAGGGTACTTATATGTTATAGTGTGGATTCCTAAAGCTTTTAGTCTATTATCCCATCATTCAAGGGTGGTTTTCACCAGGGCCGACCCTGGCCAACTTGGATGATGAGGCCCTCTTTAACACAACATTAATAATACGAGTCACTTTGAATGGATAATAATTGTTTTGACTGGTAAAAGGCACTTTAAATGTGTTGTGGTAATTATATTGTAGTTTATTATGAATGTTGGACTTTTCATTCTAAAAAATTGGTTTTGATGTACTGCATCCCTTTTCAGTCATATTGGTATGACTGAGTGTTCCAGGGTATTCTCTGAATATCTTGAAGGCCCTGACGGTTCGCCACTGCATTACTGGTAAAGTAATAAAACGTTGGGTTACGTATGGTAACCCTTGTTATATTAGCACAGGCGGAGCCCTCTACTGGACTCTATGGGTACTACCTTACCCTGCGAGCATTCTCCCACTGAGACTTCTATAGACGTAGCCGGCCTTGGGCGGGCCTACCTGAATGCGCGTGCATCACACCGTATAAAAGGAGGCCTCACCTCCTGACTATCATCCTACACCTCTCTTCAGCGAGCGGAATAGGACAGACAGTGCCCTGGGTAGAGGGCTCCACCTGTGCTAATATAACAAGGGTTACCATACGTAACCCAACGTTATATCTCTCACAGGCTCCGCCCTCTACTGGACTCTATGGGTACAGTGGGTGGAGCCGCGATGTATACACGCACTGTCGTCCAACAACAATATTCCACCCTACTGCCCCTGACCGGCTTTTATGGTCAGCAGCTGCTGCCCCACATTCTCCTTTAACCCGGTTGTAACCGAGGAGAAATCTGGGCTGTGGCTGACAGAGCACACCCTGCTGCGCTTACCTCGCAGAAAGTATGCTCAAAAAACAGTGCCGGGACACCTCCCCCCCGCCCATAGACGGATGGGGAGAGCCCCCTCGGCCCCGAATGGGCTTACTACACGCCTGCCTCCCTGAATCCCTAAGGATAACAGGGAGAGCGTCAGAGCCCACGTCCCACACTCAAACACTGACCCCGTGCAGAGTGTGTGGACTAAAGTGTGGAGGGCTACCCCCCTCCTGCCTCTCGACAGGAGGAGAGTAGTCCTCCAGCCCTGTAAGGGCCCAGTGCGCCCCCCCCCCGCCCCTCCCAGGACCCTCAGAAGGCCCGAGAACAGCGAAGGCGCATTACGTCCGGGGAGGGGGTCAGATGCCAACTGACCCACAACCCCCCCTCCCCCCTACCAGTCCTGTGTTGCCCCCGCCAGCACAGACGAGGAGAAAGAGCCCGACATGTCCAAGAGATAAAACCTTATGAAGGGGCTTGGCATCGACCAAGACGCCGCTGTGCATATATCCTCCACACTCACACTGTTGAATAAGGCTGTTGACG